TGTTGGCCAGGCTGGTCTTGAACTCCTGACCTCAGGTGATCTGCCTGCCTTGGCCTCTCAAAGTGCTGGAGAGTGGATACCTGCTGTTGAGCTGGATGAGGGAATTAATGAGATGATGATCAACTTTCTCTTATTTCACCACTGGACGAGACCAGAGACCGAAGACGGATGGGAAGAGAAGCAGCTGGCTGCTGCCCTGCAGGGAGCTGGCCCTGAGTGCTGTGGGGGCTGGTGGGGTGGGGTGGAGGGTGGAAGGCAGAATCCTCGTTGGCCACAGGGCCTGAGTTGGTCCAGGGAAGTCCCCTGCATTGTCAGAAGCTGGGGAAATGAATTTCCTCTGGTCGCTTTTCATTTTGTCTGACATTTCCCACAACAGTTTTTCATAAGGAAGTCCAGTATCTGAAAAAGGTAGTGTCCCCAGAGCATAAAGTGGGAAAGGGGCAGGGTGAGAAAGTGCCAGCCTGCCGCCTTGGCCCATCCCTAGGGTACCGGTGGAGACCGCTTGAGCTCTCAGAAACCGAGTTTTAAAGCTAGGTTTCTCAGAATCCAGCTTCTGGAACATCTCAAAAACCTATGCTTTTCTTAAGGTATAATTTATATACAGTAAAACTGCCCCTTGGTAGTAATACAGTTCTGAGTTTTGACAAACATGTACAGTTGTGTAACACCACCACAATTAAGACACAGAATACTCCCACCACCCCATGTTCCCTTGTGCCCCTTCGGGGTCAATCCCCTGTATCCACCCCTAGGCAACCCCTGATCTGATTTCTGTTCCTAAGGTTTTGTTTTTTTCCAGAATGTCATATACATAGAATCAGATAGTGAGCATTCTTTTCTGTCTGGCTTTTTTTTCACTTTTTTAAAAGCCTCTGATTTGAGACCAATGTTTAAATCTCAAGGCATTCAAGTTTTCCTAATGCTTCTTGAGTAAGAAGCAAAAAGTAAAACTTACCTTCTGGAATACTTGATAGTTGGATTTGGACCATATGTCAAGCTGAGGGGGAAAGGAGAGAAAAATCATCAGCATCAGTCTTAAAATTCGAGACTTCAAGAAATAATATTGTAACTACTGTTAACCCTTCTCACCACGGCTCTTGCATTTCTCAATGCCAAGGTCAATGCTGCCTCAGGTCCTTTGCACTTGCTGTGCCCTTTCCCTGACTTGTTTTTCCCATAAACCCTTATATGGCTCTTCATATGCTCCCTTTAGCTCAAACGTCGCCTCACTGGAGAGGCATTTCACAGTTACCTTTTCAAAACAGTCTCTCCAGTACCTGGTAACTTGATTCTCTTCACTTTTTTTTTTTTTTTTTTTTGAGGTGGAGTCTGGCTCTGTCACCCAGGCTGGAGTACAGTGGTGCGATCTTGGCTCACTGCAACCTGCACCTCCTGGGTTCAAAAGATTCTCCTGCCTCAGTCTCCAGAGTAGCTGGGACTCCAGGTGCCTGCCACCGTACCTGGTTAATTTTTGCATTTTTAGCGGAATGGGGTTTCACTATGTTGGCCAGGCTAGTCTCAAACTCCTGACTTTAGGTGATCTGCCCTCCTCTGAATCCCAAAGTACTGGGATTACAGACATGAGCCACTACACCAGTCCCTCTTTACCATTTCAAAATTTAAAGTTTTCGTAACATTTAAAACTGCCCGAAGCTCCATGATTTCTTTGTTTGCTTGTTTCCTGCCTGACTTGCCTGCAGGACGGAAGTTCAGTGACCACAGGAGGCCTGCCTTCCTTCCCACTGCCTCCCCAGGTCCAGAAAGGGGGCCTAGCATGTCACAGGTATCAGTAGGTGTTTTCTGAGTGGAGGAAAGCTGGCACCATCCAGCTGCTGAGCACCTGTTCCATGCCACGCACCACACTAGGCTCTTCACTCACACACTCGTGTAATCCCCAGGACTGGCTCTTGTGGCTGGTCGAACGAACAATCACACTCTCCAGATGGGGAGACAACAGCTCAGAGCTGTTCCTCAGCCCAAGGCTATCTGGTGAGACATCTTACAAATGGCCTCGGCTGGTGGTGCTCAAATCCTGGCTGGGCATCAGAAGCCCCTGGGGAAGTTTTTGTTTTTTAATATACAGATTGCTCAGTCCCTCCCTAGAGTGTCTGAATCAGTGGCTGGAGTGGGCCCAAGAGCCTGTTCCATTGTTTCGTAGCCCCTGCTCCCAAGGGTAAATGTGATGCCTGGCCGATCAAGAGGCCCTGCTCTAGGGCACCACTAGTTGACAAATGAGGAAGCTGGAGGAGGTCTGAGAATGTGGGGAGGACTCAGAGTAAACCCAGGCCAGTCCTCCTCTGGCTACACTTGGTCACACAGGGTACTTCAGTAGCTCATTCTAACCAAAACCATTTTGGTTTTTACTGGTTTGCATGATATACCAAATCAATGCCTTCTGACTGTTTCAAGAGTTTAGAACAAATTAAGCATGGCAAAAATAGAACTACCCCCAATACAGTGCTGAGAGAGACAGCTCAAGGGCAATGAGGAAATGAGAATGCCGGTGTTCCGTAGATGCTAAAAAGTTGACTTTAATATATGGGTTCAAGAGCTGAGTGAATGGAACACCTGGTCAAAGGGCCTCTGGGAACCTGCCTTTGGGGCTGGCCAGCGGTTAAGTAGGACCCTGGGCCATGGCGATTTAGGGCTGTATGTGTTGTGTGATTGATTTTGGAGCATCAGAAAGCACTGAGAAGCAGTCGAATGGCAAATATCCTTTAAGAAGACAGGCCATGATGTGTTGCATTTGACCCAGGACACTCCAGAGCTCGGTGTCTATTCTGTGGAAGACACTGAAACCTGGCTTTCTGAAAACAGTGCTTGGAAATGAAAAGCAGGGCTGTAAACACCCATATTCATTTAGTTCTCCTGGCTTTTCCCTGTTCACAATCCGTTTCATGAAAATTTCACTGTGTTTGAAAACTTTTAGGATAGTAGAGAAGGTTAAGATGATTCTGAGGAGGCCACTCTGTACTTCTGTAGGACTCCTGCTGGAGAGGGGAGAGGTTTAGTTCATCCAACTCCAGGACAAATAATGGAGGTGCTTTCACTGATCAAGCATTCATTCATTCAATCAAAAAAATGAACCTCATGTTCACCCACTTCTCTCTACACCCACTGCCTGCACCATCTCCTTCTTGGATTGCCACAAAAGCCCTCAACAGCTCACCTTCCTCCCACGCTGGCTAAACTGCTCTTCAGAAAGTTGGTGTCAATTGCCTGTCAGTGCCCCTCACTTAAATCACTGGATAGAGTAAGAATTTTAAAGATCTTTCAGTGTTGGAATTCTAGTTTGACAGCTCAACAATTTGCAAGGGGAAAAGTGACATGTTACCTCCAGATAACTCTGAAGGAAACCTCAAAAGAAACATATGAAATTAATTCCCCACGTTATCAATTCTGTTGAAGAAAACTACTGTTGGGCAGCTGGTCATGTTTGGAGGATAAATCAGGTTCATACTACTTTCTCAGCGCAGTTTAGCCCAGGGCTTAACAAATGCACCATTTAAAGATTATTCAGGGGTTGCAGGATGAATAAGAATGACTTTTGCATCTTTTAGTTGTACCAAAATCACTGCCAAGATGACAGGGAGAAGCCAAAGCTTCTAAGTCTCAATTTTAGGAAGAGGAACATCGATGTCTGAACTTGGAACTAATATAGTTCTCCTTCCATTCTGAGCCCACAGCTGTTTCTTCTGAAGTTCTCACTGTTTACCCTTCCTGCCTGCTTACATCATACATAAGCAGACCAAGACATAAACACAGAGCTGAGAAAAACAGAGAAGAAGACTCTGCTAGATTAAAAAGTTATAGTTTTTATTTAAAAGATAAACATATTTAAAAATCCTTTGGTATCTGCAACATGTTTTAATTTTTAAAAATCTAGAGAAAAATGCACAGAGGTTTAATGAAAACATGGCCACTCCAGCCTAATTATGGATTCTCAAAACACACCACATTTATTCAAAGTGAGGACGATGCTCTTTTTGAAAGGTTTAAATATATTATTCAGGACCCTAGGGAAAAGCTCCTACCGTCTGGGACAGAAGGACCTCAGACAATACAGTCTGTTTACCTGGCGCTCATGGGTGAGAAAGGGATGCCTTAACAATAGGGCCCTCTTTTGCTAGGTGTGCACAGCAGGTGGCTCATACTTGATTTTCTGCTAGATTTATGCCAAAGAAAGCCACTGAAATGAGCATTCTGAAGTCGATGCTCTGCCTCTCTCAGGGCCAGGAAGATTTCAGAAATTTATTTCAGGGAGCCAGGACTGATCCAAGTGAATATTTATTAGCTTCAGCTTATTTGCTGCAGAGGCAGACATGGCTACCAATTCTTTGCTGGCTGCAATATTCAAAAAAGGAGCATTCTGGAAGCTGCAAACCTTCAGCCTGATGAACGAGAAATTATTCTTAACTATAGTGACAGGAAAAAGAAAGTGAAGCACCCTTCAGTATTCTGAGCAAGCGTTAGAAAGATCTGAACACAAAAGTCAACCTTGTGGTGATTGGTGGCTGAGCCTGCAGTCTCCAGAGCAGCCTCCTGGCCTCTGGGGATTGGAGTAAGTATTTTAAGGGTGGGGGTGTGGTCTTTCTCAGGTGAAATGAAAAGAAACCCTGCAGATGACCCGCTGCTTTAGCACAGACACATCGGTTCTCAGGGCAAACACCAGGATATCAAAAGACCTCTCGATACACAGGAAGAACTGGTGAAAATGGTGACAAATCAAAATTATTCACTGAAAAGAACAATCAGAATGACCCAACATCAGCAGGTAGGTGATTCTATCAGCAATGAGGACCACCACCACCTCTATCATAACCAGCAAGGGCAGATGCCATTTACTTATGATGACGATGATGATGTATTCGGCCTGCACTTTACCTGCATTATCTTTTAAAATCCTTTTGGCAATAACGTGAGGTTGATAAAATCATTTCCAATTCACAGATGAGGGCACTGAGGCTCAGGGAAGTTAGGCAACTTGTCCGACACCACACAGTTAATGCGAGGTGGGGATTCCAAACCAGGTCTGTGTGCAGAAGCCCAGCTCTTACCCTGGAGGAACAGACTGCCTTCCAGCTAGACAGCAGGCAGGATGCCGGGGCTGCGCGCTCTCTAAGCTGCCACTCGTGCGGCTCTTCTGGGAGCACAGTTCTGCTTTGAGGCCTGCTGCTGCGGCAACCGCTGCCGCTAAAATTCATTTAACAGCAAGCGAACATTTTGGCAGCTTATCAGAAAGTTATCAATTCCGTACTTCATTTCAAAAAACAGTGGAATTGATTTTAACTTATCTAAATAAAACTCAGAAGCCACATAAGGTTTCAACGTTTAGAACCTTTATTTAGTAGCTTCATCTTGCAAGGTCAACAGGTGATAGGCTTTGATAGGCCTATCAGTTTGGGTAGAATGCTGCAAACCAGCAGTGGCGATGGGTTTCTCCATGGCTACCCATGTTTTCAAAACTATAAACTTCTACGTGGTCACCTTCTCAAATCTGTCCACCCCCCTCAGAGAATGAAAGAGTGAACACGAGCCTCGCCCAAGAACACAGCGTTACAGGTCTATTACTCTTCAACTGTTCATTCTCAATCAGGACATGCATTTGTCACCAAAAACTGCTGAAAGCACAATTTCAGGGCACCCTCTGCATATGAATTAAACTGGATTCCCCTTTCCCTGGCTTTCACCCTTCCCCCTGGAAGCAACAAGAGGCCATTTTTCTGAAGGTCGTCTGAACAATTTCAAAGGCTATAACAACTCAAAATGTTCCCTGCATCTGATATCAAACAGGGCTGATGCCAACACTTATTAGAGAAATCAGATTCAGCTCCCCACCCCCTCGGCCCATATGCATACACACAGCCAACTTTGAAGTGGGAAGAATGCGGGGATCAGAAATTACCCTGGAGACGGCTCTTGCTGTCTTTGAAGGTTTCCTTTGATACCACCATTTCTCTTCCTCTCTTATGCTCGGAGGCTAAAAGCTGCCTTTTTTTATTGATATGGGGTAATTAATGAAGCTATAGCATTAACATAACCTAAATCCCCTAATAAGATAAATTCAACTGAGACACATATTTTTTCGGTTAAGTCTGACTGGTATAAAATCAGGACAATGGCCAGGTATTCATCTTAAATCCTGCCTTCTAACATGCTGAGTCATGGCTCTTGCTACTCCCTGATTGCAATGAATAAGGGGTTGGTAAGTCTGAAAAGCATTTTTATTTTATTAGAGGAATCAGGCTATTGGTCCTTGGTAACAAAAATATGCATCATGGTTAAAGAGACAGGCTGCTAGGGTCGTGGCGGTGGTTGTTATTAGCCAAGTGCAAAGTGACAGCCTTGCTGGGATGGATTCTGAGGGGAGAGAACCTGCAAGGTCTGGAAGTTAGGGGTGGTGCTGGGCCACTACAGTAGCAATAAGGATAATGAAACTTTTTCGAATGTGCTGGTTGCTTTGGGCTTGGAGGACACAGACAGACAACCGCAGAGGCAGAAGTTAAGCCCATAGGAGGCTTCCTGAGCCACGCCCAGGGCCTCTGTGGCTGCGCTCCAGCAGACTGCAGCAAAACACCCCCCTGCAGCCACCGAGGCACCAACTCAGCAAACGCAGGGCTGCGTCCTGGGAACAGCAGCGTTTCCAGCAACAACGTGCTCTTGTAGAACACACGTCAGGCCCGGATGGCCCCTTCCAGATGCCACAGTTCATTTGGGATGTGCCAGACAATTCAACATATTAATTGCACTAATGCCTAGATTGTATATAAATAAAGTATACACACAGAGTACTGAAAATGGAACACTAATAATGTCTGCATGGTTTATTTTTATCATTGGTGAAGTGCTCTGAAAAAAAGAAGGGGCTAATCAAATTGGCTAGGATTAGATTCTGGGCGGAGCAGTCATTTGAGAGCTTCTCTACCAAATGTGGTCAGTGTGTCCTTAAAATAACAAAGGGGCTTGGTTCTCTCTGCCTTGTAATGTCCAGTTTTAGGATCCCTGCTTACTGCTTGGGCCAACGCATACAGATGAAAAGGGCGACACAAGGCTCCCTGTCCCACCACATTTCTGATGTCAGTCAGGGTCCCAAATGCACAGCCACTTTCCTTCTGAGGAAGAGAAGCCATGCTCATCTCTCATCAGGAGGGCCCAATGTTGCCCTTTCCTCGCGTCTCCTGTATCCCTGGACTTATTTGAGACTTCAATTCCTGCTGCTCCTGTTAGTTCCATTTCTCATTTTTGATTCTCCACTTTCCATTCCAGGTTAAGCATTTTCATATCCCAAGCAGGCTTTTTCATCATCCCCTCCCAGACAGGACTGGGCTCCTACCGTGCTCCTGGCACAGAAGTGCACCCTGGAGACAGAGTCACAGGATGGAGCCTGTGCCCTTGAGGAGCTCCTGGCAGATGCAGGATTGAGATCTGGCCCCATGTGGCTGTGGGCAACCTACCCATTCTAGGTCTCAGTTTCCTCATGTGTACAATGAGTCTTAGAGCAGCGCCTGTGTTGTGATGCTGTGGGGAGGATGCGATGGCCACCGTGGGCAACGTTCGCTTTGTGCAGTGCTAACGATGATGACTCCATGCTGTAAGGAGAGGCAAACCCTGGTCTGCCATCTCCATAGCCCATGCTCATAAGCAAAGAGGCTCTTGGGAAAATGAGGACAAGATGGGAAGGAAGATGGCATTCAGCCAGTGTAAAGGGAAGAGTAAAACTCTGTCAGGTGGACTAGCAGGGATTCCAGGACGAAGGGTACTGAACGTGCACATATGTGAAAGGGTCTGGCATGTCCTGGGAGCTACAGGGAGCACATGTGGCAGGAGATAAGATGAGGTGTGTGTAGAGAAAGACAGCAGATGAGATGAGAAAGGAGGGCAGGGGCAACGTCATGAGGCATTTAGATGCCTTGCAGAGGAGTCTGGATTTTATTTTACGAGCCAGAGTTTTCAGAAGTATGTTCTGCAAAATGGCAATGTCACAATATGTTCTAAGAATAAAGGAAGAGAAAAAGAATTTGGTGGCCAAATAAGTTAGGAAAATATTGCTTACTCTCTACCCGCCGTCAGAGATTCGTAAGGCACCTCAGCGAACTGGTTTCCCCGGTAAAGAAACCTGCCGAACTTTCTCTAACCCAGAGTTTCTCAAACTTGTTTGACCATGCATCGCTTTGTGCCTACCATCTATTAATATCCCACTTTCCTGCTTCGGGGAGGGCTGCTTTGGGCAAGGGGGAGATGGCGAAAAGAAAGAGAATCATCCGCTCGGATGTGTATTTTAGGAAGACAGCTCTGGAAGCCAAGTGAAGGACAGACTGTGAGGGAGGCAGGACTGGAGACTAGAACTGAGGCAGCGCGTGCATTCTTCGGTGCAGGGATGATGAGAGCCGGGGAGGAGGGAGAGGGGTGGGGGCCCAGTTTGAGAGTTACTTAAGAGGGAGAACTGCCAGTAGTCACTGACAGCCTAGATCAGCAGGATGAAGGGAAGAAAGGTTTCACCAATGAGGCGGTGATACTGTTCACCAAGATAAGGAAGAGGAGGGAAACTGAGTTTAATGTGAGAGATGATGAGTTTCGTTTTGGACAGGCTAAATTTGAGGAACATGGGAAGAAGTCTGATCTAGAAACAAATCATGAGTGATCCTTGTGTGGGTAACCCGGATGAGAATGGCCAAAGGGAATGGGCAGAGGGAGAAGAAAACTCGGGGAAACAGGAAGTCAAACTGCAGCAGCTGAGAAAGGGCGATCAGAGGCGTTCTGGAAGCACTGTACCCCTATGAGACTCTATACTCCAAGACCCCTGTTTTAAGTGTAGAGTAAAAATAATACTAGTTATCATTTATTGAGTATTTACTATTTACTGGACACTTTCAGTAAGGGGCAATTAAATCGAATGTTAAAGGTATCATGCAAAGCAGGCAAGTCTCCACTCCCTCTTATAATGTCAATTCAAAGCATGCTTCATTTGCACCCTGAGTTGGTAACTCTAGTAGCATGGTCCTGATTACGACTCACCTTTCTACGTATTCGTTCTTCATCTCTCCAATTTCCCTGTAGTCCCTGGCAAGCAGGGGCTGTTTTGTACCAGGTGTGACAATGAAGTTGTCAACTTTGAAAAAACCCAACAAGAATGGCATCTCAAAATGCCACTGCCCATGGTCTCTGTGAGGGTATATACTACCCTCAGTGCTGCCTCTGCTGCTGACCGACGGTGTGGAACCTTCTGGAGCAGCTGTCAGAGTTGACGAATCAGATGCACAGACCACACCTGACTGATGACTCACTTTACTCGTGTGCTCCAAAGACATTTGGTTTTCCCAAAAAGGAAAAGGAAACCTCCCCTCAATGAATGACTTGGTATCAACGAGGAAATTTACAAGAACTGTGCACAGTCCTCGGAGCAGGAATAGCGTCCCACGCAGACGACACTTGTGTGGAATGTGGAAATGCTGGGTTACTTGTTCAAAGCACACATCTCATTATATCACAGGCCGCGCTTTTTATGCAATGCCCTACTATGTGCTAAGCCACACTTACCACCTGTTTTGAAGAACACTCCATTCTCATTATCATGCGGCTGCTGGTGGTGAGTGCTAGTACTAATGCTAACAAACTTTTACGTTTTAACGAGAGTCATGAGAGAAGGAAAGGCTCCTGATGGGGTGGGGAGACGAGGCTCGGCACTGGGAGTGGCCTGGGAGAGTCTGGGGCATCTCAGGCTGGGGGCTCATTACACTCCGGTGCAAACACACAAGAAGGCTGTCAGCTCCCATCAGCATCCTCTGACGCTCTCTGTGGAGCCCTATGGAGACTGTGCAATTGAAAGGAATTAGGGGTTCACACAGGTGAACTTTCCATGAAGCAAGTCACCTGTGGAAGTAACACGTCTTCTTTCAACAGCAGTATCCAAAATATGCTGCTGTGCACAGCAACTTCCTAAGGGCTACTTGTTAGTTTTGGGGAAAAAGGGTGTCATCAGGTTGTGTCAAATGAACAGGAATTTTCCTCGTGGTTCTAGGAAAAGCAAAATCCTGAACCCTGGGCTATTGATGAGCTGCTTGACTTGGGGAAAAAAAAATCCATTTCCTCAGAAGACACATTTAATGAGGCAACTGGGGTCTAAGGTGATAAATTAGAAATTCAACTAAAGGCATCAGGCTTAGAGGAAAAAGCAGAAGCTTGATGAAAAATGCAAGCAGAGAGAATGAAATGCTTTTTCATAAAGTGTTCATCCTCACAGTGACAAATCTGTTTGTTGATCATTTCAGCTATGATTGCTAGCTTTTAATGCCATTCATCTGGGACTCCACTACATTTGCTCTGGGATATAGAAAATAAAGGAATGCACAAGACTCCAGAATGCTTACCTTGCCATCTTCTGTGTAGACATTCTCGTGATAGCCCTTTACTATTGTTCGATCAATGAACAGGCTCCGCATGACGACGATCACTTTCAACACCTTTCCCAAGGTCACCTGCCACGACACAAGCATGCAGACGCCTGAACATGCAAATCACACAAAGGTGGGCAGTAGTGTGAGAAGAAATGATCACCTAACCAATCCAGTGAGGCTGGGTACACGGTGCTGGCCCTGTGGAGCCTACAGCATTGAAAAATGAACTCTCAACAACAGCAAGTTCTTCCTGTCATCACTTAAAAATGTTTTGGGCCTCAACTCATCTAACTTCCCCAAATTTATTTATATTTTTGGCTTACAGACTCTCAGGATAAGTTTCATATGTTTACTATCTGCTGGAAAAAGTAAAATCCTTCCCCTTCCCATTTTAAGATTTTCTTTTTCAAGGGCGAGGATCCTACAATTCTGGCAATTCTAGGATTTAGGGAGCGCATTGTTTCCGTACTATGTCATGGTCCTACGTATACCAGTGCAATACGTAGAGAGCACAATATACAGAGTAAAGGCAGGTACCAAATGCCTCTTGGCTGAACTGTTTATAATAACTGGTAAAAGTGGAAAAGCAATACCAAATAAAGTCAGGAGGTAAAAGGAAAGTAGCTGAATTTTATCTCCAAAAAAGAAACATGATCCTGGAAATACATTTAAGTGCTTTTACTCTCAGAACCTAAGCACATATACATTAAAAAAAAAATCCTAAAAAAAGTGCAGTTTCATGTATGCCAGGGAAAAGGGAACCTGCTGTGCTTGCTGGAAGAGGCTCAGCACCAAGAATAGAAACAGCACCTTCCTTTCTTTAGGGACACTATGGTGTGGCTGTGGTTGTTTCTCCCCACCAAGACTCACGTTGAAATTTTATCCCCTGTGTGGTGCTGGGAGGTGGGGCCTAGTGGGGGGTGTCTGGGTCAAGAAGGCGGATCCCTCACAAATGGCTGGGTCCCTTCTCGAGGTACTGCGCCCCTGCTCTGGTGAGGCTGGGTTAGCTCCCTTGAGAGTGGGTTGTTACAAAGCCAGGATGCCCCTTGGGTTTTGTCCTTCACGCAGGTCTGCCTCCGCTTAGACCGTCCACCATGTTGTGATATGTGTGACGCAGCGCAACACAAAAGCCCTCACCAGACGGTGAAGCAGATATGGGCGTCATGCTGCTTCTACTTCCCCGCCGGCAGCACTGTGAGCTTCATCTCTTTTCTTATAAATTACCCAGCTTCAGGTATTCAGTTATAGCAGCAATAGACAATATACGGATGAAGACAAGGGGCTCACGTAACTCTTCTAATACTTTGCTAAGGCTTTTCATTTCGTATATGAGATCCTGGACGCAGACCCCCGCCCGAGACCCCCCCCGCCCATGGTCCTAGTTGTTCCAGTGAGGCTTTGATGTCATAGAATTTGCCAAAAGAAAGTGCTGCTGAGCTGCATAAGGTAAGAGCCTGAGCCTCAGATGGCAATCCTGATCCTTCAACTCCAACCTGCCATCAGTTTCTGGGGATGCCACCCCCTATCACCCCTTCCTCATTTTCCTGTCCCTTGCAGTTTTCTATCTGATTGTCCCCAATAGCAACCTTCCCCTGTCCTTGATTAGTCCTGGGTATCCCACATTTCATTCCTTCAATAATGTCAAGTGTTAGGTTGAATCTCTATTTCTGTATACTTTAAATAGCACTGAATATAAACATGGTAAGAAAAAACATTTATTTACATTGAAGGGAATGCTAATAAAGACATTCTATTT